TGTTGTTAGCTCCAGAGCTAATTATATATGTTGTTAGCTCCAGAGCTAAATAAATATCACAAGTTGAACTTTTTAGGCTTAACTCCTTGTAATTTAGTCTCCAGTGCAACCGATGTACATCATCGCCCCAGAATGCATTGGGCCAGTAAAATAATGGTGACGTCGCTAGTTGAAAATTTTAACAAGTTTTCAAGTAATTATTATTTTTCACATCACAAACAACAACTTTTAGTGGAACAAAGAAATAACATATTAAGGCCAATGTCTGCACATAATCGGAGATCCCTTTAAAGAAGCTAAACTGATTTATTAAATCTTCAGGAGGACCTGCAGGTGGCGCTGTCCCAAGGAAAACGCCTGTTAGCATACATAAACGAGCCTCTGGAGACGGATCCTATGTACAACATGACGCAAGATGAACTGGAGAACTTGTCTACTGTGCAGAGGTACAAAACGAGACAAAAACAAACCCCTTGATAAAAAATAAAACAAATAAACCTCTTCACCCCCCTCTCAGACTCCTAGGTCAGCTGGATGAAACGGAGACGGCATTTGACGACTTCTGGGAACGTCACCGCACCAAGCTGGAGCAGTGTCTGCAGCTGAGACATTTTGAAAAGCACTTCCGTGAAGTTAGTTGGCTCGAGCTGAGGAAATCAATGACTGTGTTCGTCCTGCGTCCAATAATCAGACGCTCAACATCTTTGTGCTCTCCAGGTGCGCGGCCAGCTCGACGTGACGTTCGAGCGGTTATCGGAGTTCTCTGAAGTCAGCATAAGCCCCGCCCACGCGGAGCACGTCCTCCGAGAGCTCAGCAGCCACGAGGACAAAGCCTGCGTAAGATCTGATCCAATAAGACCTGGAAAAAATAGTATCTATTGTGTGTACTGGCATTTTCCTACACTGAACACTAGAAAGCATGTTTTCATAGTTATGATTGCCACAAAAAAGAACGAGTTCATTTAGTGTTTTTAGCCAGTACTTGGTCGGCTCATGACTTCAGGTTGTTTGATACTCTGGTCTAAAGATCAGATATGTCTTTTGTGTTTGGACAGGACTTGGTAGACCGTGCCCTGACCTTGGCCAGTGAAGGTGACATGCTCATAGAAAACTCCCACTACGCCGAGGACTCCATCAGGCCGAAGTGCAGCGAGCTGAGAGGTGTGTGTGAGGAGATCAGCTCCACTCTGACGAGCAAGAAGAGCCTCCTGCTCAGAGCCATGGAACTCCACCACGCTTTGGAGAAGGTAGGAGTCCCATCCAGGAAGGAGGTCCCTTTTAGAGCCTCGAGTATTGAGAAATGTTTTCTCTGCAGGTGTCCCAGTGGTGCGAGGACGGTATCTTCCTGTTGGCGAACCAACCAGTGGACCGTTGTCAGTCTCAGGATGGAGCCGAAGCAGCCCTGCAGGAGCTGGAGCGATACCTGGACACCGCAGCTCTCCACACCCTCGCGGACCACAGCGCCATCTGCTGTCAGTACGAGGCGGTGCTCAATCCTCAGCTCAGGGTCAGACGCCAAACTTTCAACAGACTTAATTAAATCTGCTTTTGGTACACGTTTCCAACGACATGTGTCCTCCATCCTCCACCAGGACCTGATGGACAAAGTTTTCCAGAAGCAAAGCTCCGTCCAGGAGATGTTCGAGAAAAGGCGAGTCAGCCTGAAGAAGCTCGCCGCCAAACAGACGAGACCGGTCCAGCCGGTAGCGCCGAGGCCGGAGGTCAAGTCTCCGCTTTCCTCTCCGAGTAAGACTCAATCCATCAACGTCTGAGTTCAAAATACGCGCATCACGAATTTTAAGACGGGGAAGACTAAAGGTGATCGTTTTGACTCTAGATCCAGAGAGAAAAGAGAGGAGACACTCGGCGGACAGTGCCCTCTGCAGAAAGGTAAAATCCAGATTTTAATTTTATTTTCGTACGCCCATCAAAAAGGCGTTACGTATTACCGTCATATTACGGTATAGTCTCCGTATGTACTTCCATAAACTTTCTCTTAACCGGCACCATTATTTCTGATCGGCTAAATATAATTTAATGAAACCTGATACGTATGCATCACGACTAGATGGAAGCGTCGCATGCCTTTCTCATCACCCCAAAGTCAAGGTCATTAATGAAGGTCAAATTCAAGACAAGGCCTTTGCTTGTTCGGGCCATAACCTCTGATTCGTATTGTGGGCGTACGATGCGACGCACACGATACAGTTGTTCTTCTTTCTGTCTGTATAACGTTGGATGAGATTAACAATTGTTGAGATGTTTCCAGTTGGAGTTCCCCATCCACAACGGTGGCACGAGACACGCCTCTCTGTCAGAAGAGGAGGAGAACCTGGCAGTCCTTCGGCGGTAAGTGTTCCTCCTGAGAACCGCGGATCAGAACGCTAATGCTCTGAAGGATCTTCTGCCGGATCAACGGGTCCGTTAAAGTGAGGTCTTTGTCTGGTTTCCAGTCATGTGATGAACGAGCTGCTGGAGACGGAGAGAGCGTACGTGGAGGAGCTTCTGTGCGTTCTGGAGGTGGGGCTGCTTCCGGTCCATTCCTCAACAGGTTGTTGGTTTTGTTCAATTGCTGATGTTGCCGTTGAACTTCAGGGCTACGCGGCAGAGATGGACAACCCCGCCATGGCTCACCTCATCCCCAGCACCCTGCTCAGCAAGAAGGACATCCTGTTTGGAAACATGTTTGAGATCTACCAGTTTCATAAAAGGTGCACTTCCTTCATTTGGTCTGTTTATTGTCTGAACGTTTCTCAATCATTCCTATTATTCAGATCCTTTTTTTTTTTAACGTATGTTTTTCAGCTCGTACCTCGTTCCACAGTTTTTGTTTTATTTTTAAAAATCATGTCTCAAAACGTTGAGCTCATTCAGGACTTTCCTGTGAATTTTGGTTTTTGTACAATTTTTATTTGTAGAAATATTTAGCCATGTTTTTCTCATTGAAAATGAATGGAGCTGTCTTCACATCCTTCAAACCCTTTAGCTGTTTGCAAACTTTTACTGCTCATTTCAACTTTTTTGTGCTTCTTTCAGCTTATTTTGGCTAAGTTCAGCTTTTTTGATTTCTCAGCTACTACTAATTTCATCCTTTTGGCTACTTTTCAGTTAATTTAAGCTTTTATGTGAACTTTTCAGCTTTTTGTGCATTTTCAGCTACTTTCACCTGATTTTCAGCATATTTTATCTGTTTTGTGCTGTTAAGTTTATTTCATTTACTTTTAGCTATTTTATGTTCCTTTCAGCATTTTTCATCTACTTTTTGCTTCTTTCTTCTAATAAAGTAAAAAAATCTGCTTTTTTCAGCTAGTTTTTGTGCAAGTTTTAGACATTTTAGCTTTTTTTTTTGTTGCTAATTTTAGCTTTTTGTAATTCTCTCAAATAATTTAAACTTGTTTATCTCCTCAGCATATTTCTGCTGATTTCAGCTTTTTTGGCTACTTTTTTCATATAATTTCAGTTTTTTTCTGCTCTATTCAGTTTTTTTTATACTGTTTTCAGATTTTTGATATCTATTCTGCTTCTCTTTTCCTATTTCAGCTTATTCTGTTCATATCTGCAGTTGTTTTCTGCTGATTTCAGATTTTTTGGCTACTTTTTTGGTGCCAATTTCAGCTTTTTTCTGCTCTTTTCAATTTCTTTTTTACTAATTTCAGGTTTTTGTTGCCTATTCAGCCTCTCTTTGCCTATTTCAGCTCATTCTGTTAATTTCGGCAGTTTATCTGCTAATTTCAGCTTTTTCAGCTACATTTTTTTTTTTTTTGCTAATTACAGCTTTTTCTGTTCTTTTCAATTTCTTTTATTTATTCATATTTTTGTGATCTAGTCAGCTTCTCTTTGTCTATTTAAGCTTATTCTAGTCATTTCTGCTGATTTCAGCTTTTATTGTCCAGCTTTCAGCAAATGTCAGCTGTTCAAATTCAGCTCACATTAACAGTCTGGATGTGAAACGCTTTCAGCTGGTGTCAGCTTCTTCAGCTGATGTCAGCTGAAATCGTTCAGCATGCTGCGTTCTCACAGGAACTGATGTTTCTCTAGTTCTGTTCAGTTTTGTTGTTTTCTGGAGTTTTTGAGTGGAGTTTTGTTTTCTCCTGTTTTAGGACGTTCCTAAAGGAGCTCGAGGAATACACCGACTGCCCAGAACTCGTGGGCCGCTGCTTTTTAGAGCGGGTATGCTCGCAACAAAACGAACAGTCACCTCCACGAGATGTCTCCGACTGAAATGACCTTTGCTCGTTTCTCTGCAGATGGAGGACCTGCAGATCTACGAGGCGTACTGCCAGAATAAACCTCGCTCCGAGAGTTTGTGGCGGCAGTGCTCCGACTGCGCCTTCTTTCAGGTCAGCATCAGTTTCACACCTAAGAAGCTTCGGCCACTTTCAGGGATCTTAGCTGTTTTTTGTTTATCAAACCCAGGAGTGCCAGAAGAAGCTGGAACATAAACTTGGTTTGGACTCCTACCTCCTTAAACCCGTCCAGAGAATCACCAAATACCAGCTGCTGCTTAAAGTCGGTCGTTGTTCGTTTGTTTTTTTTAAACTCCTTTACCCAGTTATTTTAAAAAACGAGCTTAAAGAAACTTTTACGGCTCCTTTCTCCTCGTTGCAGGAGCTGTTGAAGTACAGTAAGGGCTGCGACGGCTGTGAAGACCTCCAGGAGGCGCTCTCCTCCATCCTGGGCATCCTGAAGGCCGTCAACGACTCCATGCACCTCATCGCCATCACAGGATATGAGGTTGGTCAAAGTACGGAACGAAACGGCGATTCAACCTCCAACATCGAAGGTTTCATGACATTCAACTGCCAAAACGCAAGAAAATCTCAAGATGTGAATGCTGAGAGCTGAACAACCGAAGTTAGATGTAAAATAAGAAACTGAGCTAGCAAAGTTAACAGAAGCTAAATGCTAGCTAAAATGCTCAAAAAAGCAAAAGCTGAAAGAAGCAAAGTGCTAACTAAAAACTCAAATTAACTAAAGTTTTTATTAAAAACCTCAAAATAGCTAAACCCTAGCAACAACATATATTTAAACATTTACTCAGAATAGCAAAAGGCTAGCTAAAAGTAGCTAACTAAATACAAAAGTTAGCTAAATTAAATAATAAAGCAAAATCCCAATTGTGGGATGAATAAAGTCTTAAATACATTTTTGCTAAAAGCTAGAATAGCAAAATGCTAGTTCAAAGTAGAAAAACGCTAACTCGGGGTAGCAAAAGGCTAACTAAAAGCTAAGACAAGCTTTAGCTTGAAGCTAAAAATAGCAAAAGGATAGTTAAGTGTTTCAAAAACTCAATTACAAGCTACAAGAAGCAAAATGATAGCTAAAAGCCAAAGTTTTCTACATTTCTGCTAAAAGCTAGAATATGAAAATGCTACTTAAAGTAGTAAAGCATTAGCTTAGAGTATCAGAAGGCTAGCTAAAAGGTTAACTAAAAGCTAAAACATGCTAATTTGAACTAAACGTAAAAAACTAGCTTGAAGCTAAAAGTATCGGAAGCATAGTTAAATGTTTCAAAAGGTCAACTAAAAGCTAAAATGCTAGCTAAAAGACAATTAGCTAAATTCTAGATAAAAGCTAGAATATCAAAATGCTAGTTCAAAGTAGCAAAACACTAACTCACCATATTAAAAGGCTAGCTAAAAGTAGCTAAAAGCTAATTAAATATTTGAAAAGGCCATCTTAAAGTAAAATAGTTAAGATCTAGCTATTTATTAGCAAAACACTAACTCAAAGTATCACTAACTCAAAGTATCAAAAAACTAGCTTAAATGAGCTAAAAGTTAAATAAATGTTTCAAAATGCCAGCTAAAAGTAGCTAAAAGCTAACTAAATATTTGAAAAGGCCAGCTTAAAGTAAAATAGTTAATATCTAGCTATTTATTAGCAAAACACTAACTCAAAGTATCAAAAACTAGCTTAAAGGAGCTAAAAGTTAACTAAATGTTTCAAAATGCCAGCTAAAAACTAAAAGAAGCAAAACGCTAGCTAAAAACCTAATTTTTCTACATTTCTGCTATAAGCTAACGTATAAAAATGCCAGTTCAAAGTAGTGAAAGGCTAGCTAAAAGTAGCAAAAAGCTAGCTAAATATTTCAAAAGTCCAGCTAAAAGTAAAATAGCTAAATTCTAGCTATTGATTAGTAAATCGCTAGCTCAAAGTATCATAGGCTAGCTAAAACCTGACAGAAATAAAAGAATGAAAGTGTTTTAAAGAGATTAAAGTTTGAATGGATTATTCGTGTGTTTCTAGACGGATGAAAAATATTAAACTTTAAACAGAAGTCGTTGCACCTTTATTCTGAAGGAGCACAACGATCGCAGAAGTAGGTGAAGGTTATCAGCCGTGTTGTTTCCTGAGCAGGGGAACCTGTCGGACCTCGGCCGCCTGCTGATGCAGGGCTCCTTCAGCGTGTGGACGGAGCACAAGAAGGGCCACGCCAAGGTGAAGGACCTGGCCCGCTTCAAGCCCATGCAGAGGCACCTGTTCCTGCACGAGAAGGCGCTGCTGTTCTGCAAGAGGAGGGAGGAGAACGGCGAGGGCTACGAGAAGGCGCCGTCCTACAGCTTCAAGCACTCCCTGAACGTGAGCTCAAGGTCAAAGTTCGAAGGCGGCAGCGTGACGTTTTCCCGCGCTCCTAACAAACAAACGTTCTCGTTGGTTCAGATGAGCGCCGTCGGCATCACGGAGAACGCCAAGGGAGACAACAAGAAGTTCGAGATCTGGTGCAACTCCAGAGAAGAAGTGTTTATAGTGCAGGTAGCTTCATTTCTTTTAAAAACTAAAGTTTATTTTTTAAAAATCAGCTAAAACGGCCTTTTCCTTCTAGGCTCCGACGTCGGAGATTAAAACCGAGTGGGTGAAGGAGATCCGCAAAGTCCTGACGCAGCAGCTCAAAGCGTACAGAGGTAGGCTTGCTTTTTATTTATTTATTCTTCTCGTCTTTTTGTTCGGCATAGCAGCTCGTCACCACTTCCTGTTTCAGACGCCAGCCAGCAGAAAAGCTCGGACTCTTCGAATCCCGCCAGCAACGGCGGCTCCGCCTCCCTCAGGTCGGTGTCGCTTCTCGCGCGAGGCGGACGAAAGTGTAGGAATAAAACTTAAAGTTCTCCCGCTCTGGTCTCCTCCAGCCCCTTCCGCGGCAACAATCAGAAGAACCAGAAGAAGCAGGAGGAGAAGAAGGCGGAGCCATCTGACCCCACGTCCTGTTCTTCACCCAAACACAAAGGTGAATAAAACAAACGCTCCTCTTTGGTTCCTGCCGCCGCCGTCGACCCTTCATAACCCAAACTTCTCTTGTCTCCATCACCTTCACCTCCACGGCTCCGGTTCCTGTTTCCTCCCCTCCCGCTTCTCATTTCAAACCATTTTTTTCCTCTAGACGACGCCGTGACCAGCCCGACCACCGACAGGTCCTCGGTGGCTAAAAAGCGTTTTACTTTGCAGGGTTTCAGCAATCTGAAGAGTCCCAAAGGTAACGTGAGGAAACCTCAGCAAGCTTACGAGGTTTACAGCAGATTTCCTTTCGTTTTTTTAATCCTAATTTAGGCGGTTCAGAAAGCTATCTGCTGCAGGTATGATGTTTATTGTTCACAGAGAGCTGAACTGTCCCTTTAAGTCATAAAACCTGGAAGTTTCAGGTTTGATTTGAGTCCATTTTGGAGAAATGCTGCCACCTGGTGCTCAAAGTGAAGCATGGCTTCTGTTTCAGGGTTCCGTCAACATAAAGTTAAAGTTTTTTTAAACAAATATTCATATTTCTTTGTGTCTAATTAAAAAAAAAACTTTCTTTCCTCCCTGACTTCTCTCTCCTCCTCCTCCTCCTCCTCCTTCTCCTCCTCCTCCTCCTGACGGCTCAGCTCTGAGCCCGGAGCACGCCTCCAAACGCCACTCGGTCAAAAGTGACCCCACCCCCTTTGGCTTCAAAGGTACATTTCTTTTTTTTTTTTTTTATCCCGTCTCAGTGGGATATTTTTATTTTTAGAGGCCGTCGTTCACTTAGTTCCTTGTTCGAGTTTTGTGCCATAAAATTCCACCGGCGTCTGATGAAACCTCGGCGAGGAAAAAGCTGAGATGTTGTGTGGAACGTAAATTAAAACAAAACGTAAATATTTGCAAATTCAGTTAATCCATTTAAGAAATTGGACCAGTTTCATAAATTGATGAACTCATTCTGAGTTTGGAGGTAACGTGTCTCACAGAACCGCTGCCGTCTTCTCTGGACCAGAGCTCATTTATCCATAAATAAGGTCCAGAACTGTTCTGAGGTCAGACGGGACCAAATGTTCTGTTTGGAAAACACGGACATCACATCCTCTGGACTAAACAAGGACCATCCAGCCTGTTAGCAGCTTACATGTAAAATGACTGCCTCTCTGATGGTATGGGGGTGCATTAGTGCCTCTGATATGAGCAGCTTGAACATCTGGAAAAACTCCATCAATGTAGAAAAGTATCTACAGGATTTAGAACATCTGGTCCCGTCTAGAGAAGATCCAGGAATGTAGAACAGCTCCATCAATCCTCAATGAGAGCAATGGGACAGCATGTCCTCCAAAACCTCCAGCAGCTGGTCTCCTCAGGTCCTCCAAAACCTCCAACAGTTAGTCTTGGGTCCTCCAAAACCTC